CTTAATTTAAGAGATAGGCAATTGCACAGAGCAAATACAATTGGGCTGCATCAAAAAGTCTGAACAGCCTAAGAAACACTGGGTTTGGGAAGGGCTTTCAAAGGCAGTAAAAAAGGTTTTATCAGAGTTGATACAGATGTTCAAACAGCTACTAGATGCATACTTGCAAATAGAATATTCAGGGATATAATCTTGATCCAAGGATAAATCTGGGGTCAAGAAGGAATTTTTTTCCTAGCTTGTTGCAAAATTGGAAGTGCTTCAAACTGTTTTTTGGTTTTTTTTGCCTCCTTTTGGATCAACAGCAAAAAACAAATGTGAGGAAGGCTGAGCTTGATGGACTTATGTCTCTTTTCAGCTATGTAACTATGTAAAAAGAGAACAGCAGCTTTCACAAGCTGTCCTAGACACACTTTCAATGAAAAAAACAAAACATAATTAAATGCATTTGAGGAATATCTGTTAAACAGTGTATTTATTTATCTATTTGTATCTGGGCAGATGGATGTCCCAACATAGTTGCTAAATAGGTTAGTTTTAAAAACCAACTTATACTTTTTGGGTTAGTTACAGTCAGGTATTGCTTAAAAATGTAGCCAACTTGCACTTAACAGTATAGTAGGATGCTTACTGACCATAGACACGGACTACAGATAAAGAAATCAAGATAACATGCTTAAGATATCACTAATTATATGAATATGATTAAAAAATAATCAGTTCTATTATTTAGAGCCTAAATGGATGTTATTGGCATTGCAGTAATAGTATGCAATTATTGCTACTAACTGACATAATGTTGCTGCAGCTCCAACTAGTAGAGGGTTCCTGCACTTTTGCTCCATAGAACCATAGAAACCAAGTTGTAATTTTCTATTTATTAAATTACATTAAATGATTTCACAGGATCAAAAAGAGACGTTCTCTGAGACCAGATACAAGTTCTCTTGAGCCAACCTATCCATACACTTAACCCTTTCAATTATTCAACAAAAAACTCAGCCTTGTGGAAAAGCACAGCAAGAAAAGCTTTACTGTAAGTGGGGGAGGGGGATCCAAAACAAACCCATAACGAATGCTATATTTCCTTTTGTTTGAATTCACCAAGATGATCTGGCCTAATTGCAAAGAAGCATATATACATCAGTCTAAAGCACTGTATATTTTCAGACAGGTTTTCAAATACATTAGATACAGCAAGTACGAAAGGTAGGATAAGCGCTAAGGGATCAATTAATATAAACAGTAAATTAAGCTGCAAACACTAAAAGTAAGGAATATTCCCAACACATTACTGAAAAGAAGCAAAACAACACAAAACACAAAAAACAGGTTGCGCTGAATACTGTGTGTAGTAAGTTCAATTCTTTGGAAGATCGTGGCTTGGATTCGTCCAAGCTTCAGTTGATGGTAAGTATATGTGTTGTTTTTAAATACATGTATTGTCACTTATAAAACTAGAATTCCTGCAACCCCTTGCTTTTCCTCAGAAGGAGCATACTAGGCTCTTACCAGCCCTATGACAATGTTGTAGTTACCCAACACCCATGCACCCTACGCTAAATTAAACCCAGACACAACCCTATCCGACAACCCGAAGGGTGCGCTAGCTACTGTCCAGCAACCTCCAGCTAAGTGATCATCTAGCCAATCGTGCAACCATGAGGAATTTATGCTAGACAAAACATAAAATTTGGTTTATGATTTGCATGTGATGCTGTTTTTACCGTGAAATGTTCTACATGCTGAATACCTATTGCTCACACAGTGTAATATGATGTTTAAGATTAGCCACAAAAATAAAGAATTACAAAAAAAACCCTGATGAACTCTGTAATCTCTTTTGAGAACCTATTCAAATATGTAGTGGATTTGCACTTTCCTTACCGAAATTACTTTTGGGACGAAAAGAATGTTACTTTTTAGTATTAGGGATTTTTTTTTTGCCACAATAATATTAAAAACTTACATTAAACCATGATAAAAATGTAGAGTTGTCTCACCGAATATGGTTAAAATATATGAAGAGTTGTCTCACCCCATATGGTAAAATATATCACAATAATGCAGATGCATTTTGGTACAACTGCCTTCTTTAAAGTGTGTGTAACTTATCCAAATGTAATCTATTTACACCCACACAGTTCACAATTCTCCTAGTATCAAGATGGAACTAATTATCAAATTTCAGAAATCCTGTGTATACTTCCATCTGTCTAACTCCAGTGTCGTCACTTCTGTTCCACAGGATCGGCAAACTTCTGTTGCATGGAACAGGCAGTGCTGTGTCTCCCCCCACACTTGTGCAATATCATTTCCAGTGGATAAACTTCAGATACCCTCTTTTATGTGCAGAGTTACCAAATGTCCATAAAGGGTGATATATGTAATATTACTTATTTCCCACAACATTTATTTACATCTACACATAGGTATATAAACCAGAATAAGTTAAAATTAGAGTTGCGTGAACCCGGACTGTAAAGTTCGGGTTCGTACTGAACATTAAGTTTTTTGGTCCTCGGACCCGAACACGGACATATCAGTGTATGTTCGGGTTGGAGTTCGGTGTTCGGCGATTTAATGGCGCGTTTTGAAAGGCTGCAGGGCAGCCAATCAACAAGCGTTTGACTCGTGTGCCCTTAGAAGCCATCACAGCCATGCCTACTAATGTCATGGCTGTGATTGGCCAGTGCAGCATGTGACCCAGCCTCTATATATAAGCTGGAGTCACGCAGCGCCGCATGTCACATGAGTTCTTATTAGTGTAGGGACAGGATTCTGCCGCTTTCAGGGTCAGATTAGGAAAGAATTCTGCAAACTAGTACATTAGTGGGGTGCACTTCATATCTGAGAGTCAAATAGAAGCGTCAAATACTGTGGTTACATCGGAGTTTTAAAAAGTCAATTAAATGGAAGCGTCAAATACTGTGGTTACATCGGAGTTTTAAAAAGTAAATTTTTTTGGGTGCTAAATAGTACATTTGGGGTGTGCACTTTATATCTGAGAGTCAAATAGAAGCGTCAAATACTGCTGTCACATTGCACTTTTAAAACTTACAATTTTTTGGGTGCTAAAAAGTACATTAGTGGGGTGCACTTCATATCTGAGAGTTAAATAGAAGCTTTAAATACTGCGCTTACAGCACAGTTTGAAACATTCTTATTTTTTGGGTGCTAATCTGCTAAATATTACATTTGGGGCCTGCACTTCATATCTGAGGGTCAAATAGAACTGTCAAATACTGCGTTTGCAGCGCAATTGTAAACATTCTAATAGTTTTGGTGCTAAATAGTACATTTGGGGTGTGCATTTCATATCTGGTGTATGTGTGCAACACTGGCTAGTTACCGATTCTTAAGAAAGTGTAAAGACAAATAAATGTTGCCTATGGTGCAGGTAGTATAGAAGGCAAGACTGAGACAAATCATTTGGGTTACGTTTGCCTGTTTACATGTTAATTATCTTAGACCATTAAAATTCAATAATCAATGAAAAAACACAGTAAGTGTCATACAAAAATATGTATTATAAACAAGTTAAAAACAAGACTACAAGTCATGCTATAACAAAATTAAACAAGTTGTAAAGTATGTATGGGCCAACCAGTGGCTGTAAAAACAAAGTTTGACTGGTTACATTCATGACTACACACTAGTGAACAGGACCTTCATGTAGTGTGTTGTTTGTTTTTTTAACATCATAGAGCATCCTTTCATGTGCTTTTTCAGATGTCATATTGTTAATTACCAATTCTTGTTTAACCTGATTTTTTTTTTTTTAAAGTGAAAAATAAGTGTTATTGTGATCGCTTCATATACAGAAGCATTAATATACATTTCTATATTGTGTAACGACACAACTACAAAGTTAAAAACCAAACACAAAAACAACGTCAGACAATTTACCTGTGCATGGCTAGTGTTATGCGATTAGTCTACATCTTAAAATTGCAATAACCCACAATTTACTACATCAGCATAAGAGGGAGCAGGATACAAAAGCAGAGCGGCCATCCACTAGCGCTCGTCGGCATGTATTATCTATAGAATTCCCACAGTTATCCAAGTAACAGATGTAGCGATCAAAGGAACCATAACTTATTTAATGAGCTGTTCTCAGTTTCACAGTCAGGACAACAGACCGGTGACCGGGACCCAGACACTGGGCATTCGGACGAACGGGACCCAGAATGCTCTATGTTGAAGTTAGGAGTCACAGTGTTGAATTGATTAGCAGGGTCTGGTGCAGGGTATCTGATGCAGTATATTTGATGTCTGTACAAATCAGTGTCACCTAGATTGTTTGCTCTTTTTTTTTGTTTATCCCTATCTCTACAACGGGGGAGTAAATACACCAAAGAAGGTTTTCTGGTATACCTGAAATTCCAGATCTACCTGTTGTTCTGAGCCGAAATCAAAAAAGTCTCAGAAAAATGTGAGTGTGTGGACATACTCTTTTGAATTTATTTGTCCATCGTTAGTAATACAATATTAAACTATTATATTCTCTCTCTGTTTGTTTTCCCTATATACATATGAGAAAAACTCCTACATACAACTAAGGGGTAAGTGTAATTTGTCCAAGCATTGCACCTTGGGTCTCTGAGTGTTAGGTGGTGGGATTATCACCTAAACCTCGGAGTCCTTTTTTGTGTTCACATTTTGTACTAAAGTGGAGTATTGGGAAATCCATTAATGGTGTTCTAGCTGCTAGTACTAGATTTATTTTTTCTGCTATAAACTGTGAAGCGCCTTCTATACACTGTTTTTAGATTTGCACGCCCCCTGGTGTTGAGCATCAGCGTTTGTGCAGCCACATACCAGGACACTGATGCAGCTTCAGCGAGCAGCAGCAGGCGATAGTGGAGTTTCAGCTGCAGCACGCACGGGTCAGTCGCTTTGCACCAGACTTGCCCTCCAATTGATCATAGTTAAAGGATTTCAAGTGGACTCATTACAATTACAGGGCCTCTAAAGAGTCTTGTATTGTTATTTGTCGTCACTACCTTCCCGCGTCGGGAGTGGGTCATTTGCGCGCCTGATACCTTACTTGCATGTGGTAGCCGTTTCTCAGGCTCCCTCTCAGGAATCGAACCCTGATTCCCCGTTACCCTTGGTCACCGTGGTAGACGCAGAAAGTGGCATCGAAAGTTGATATGGATGACATATGAATGAGTCGTCGCCTTGTCGTTTGGGAGTCCATTTAAAAAGTGCTCTAGCATGATGAGCTGAGTGATCTCCTCCGGGAACTTGACTTGATGGGAGTTGAGCCAGTTCTGGGTGGCCCTTGTGATGCGGCATGCCCACTCTGCATGGGAGTTCTTCTCCCCTTTCCGGATCTCCCTAAACTTTCGGCGGTATTGCTCGGGGTGACCGCATACCGGGCCAGGAGGATTTGTCTAATAAAGGGATAGTCTCTGATCTGCTCTTCTGGTACAGCCCGGTAAATATGCGCTGCCTTCCCCACTAGTTTGCTGGCCAGGATGGTGACCCAGTCGCTGGGGTCCACGTCTTGGAGTAGGCACTGGCGCTGAAAGTCTTGTAAAAGGTAATTGATGCCTTCTTCTGCTTGAAGTCTATGAAAGCATTGTATGGTAGCTTGTGGGCCAGGGTGGTTGTGCTTCCCGGCGCCCTCTGCTCCCTTCTTCCTTTATCTGGGTTCATGGAGGTCGCCCTCTGTCTATTGGCAAGGACATAGGCTTGCACCTCCAAAAAGGTCCTGCTGACAATCTCCTCTGAAAGTGGCTCTCGGTAATATGCCAGGCGCCGTTACACCTCCTTGCGCACTTACTCCTCATCTACGACCAGGGCCGCCATCAGAAATTGTGGGGCCCCTAACACAGCTCAAGGTCTGGGCCCCCGGGTGCCCGTCTCCAAGCCCCGGCTCCAAATCCCGCCCACAGGAATACACAGACACAGACAAAAAAGGACACAGACACACACACAGAAAGATACACACATACTAACAGACACAAATACTGAAACAGGCATACACACATATAGACACATACACAAATACAGATACACATACACACATAGTGACATACAGACACACACACACTGACGTACATACTCGCATACTGAGACACACACATACATACAGACATACATACATAATGGCATACATACATACATATGCATACATACAGGCATACATACACACACAGATAGATAGATAGATAGATATATACATACACAGATACATACCGACATACTGACATACACACACACACAGACATACATGCATACTGACATACATACTGATATATACATACATACACACATACATACATACTGACATACACACACACACACATACATACTGACATACACACACACACACAGACATGCATGCATACAGATATATATACATATTGATATACACACACAGACATACATACAGACATATACACACAGACATACACACATACATACTGACATACACACACACACATACAGACATACTGACATACACCTAATTTATCAGCCACCCTCCTCTTACATTTAAGTTGCAGGAGGGTGGCTGAGGATGATGGGAGAAAAACCCCACACTGCGCAGGAGCTGTGGACGGTCAAGGAAAAACAGACCGATGAGTGGTGGTTGCCACTGAGCCTCAAGCCCGGCTAGGTGGTGTGCAATAATGGGCAAAATCTCGTAGCAGCTATGGGCCTAACTGATTTGACGCACATCCCTTGCCTGGCGCATGTGCTGAAATTGGTGGTGCAGAAATTCCTGAAAAACTGCCCGGATATATCAGAGCTGCTGCAAAAAGTGGGGGCCGACTGTACATGCTTTTGGCATTCTCACCCTGCTGCTGCTCGTCTGTCTGCGCTGCAGTGTAACTTCGGCCTTCCCGCTCACCGCCTCATGAGACTGTGCGAGCTGCAGCAGGCGATAGTGGAGTGTCAGCTGCAGCACGCACGGGTCAGTCGCTCTGCGGAACAGAGTTTTCTTTTTTTATATGTCCCAATATTTTGGGGGCTACCCCAATTAAAATATATATATATATATATATATATCTATGTTGGCTACCTCCTCCTCCTCCACCGCCGCTTCCATCTACACCGCCACGGTCACCGCCTCCTCAACCTCTGGGTCACTTAGTATAAACTATGTACACAATAGCGGAGGCTTGTGAAGGCCTTTTCTCCATGCATCAGAAACATAGAAACATAGAATGTGACGGCAGATAAGAACCATTTGGCCCATCTAGTCTGCCCAATTTTCTAATTTTCTAATCAGGAGTTGAACTCAGTTTCTCAAATGGAGTTGAGCAACCCTTTCTCAAATGGATAAGTCTGGTGATCCTCCTGACAAGCATGCTTTAGATTTAGATGTTCTTCCAAAGCTAAAATCAAAGATTCCATCTAGTGCTATTTTATGGTTCAGCTGTATTTTTAATTCTTATGTATTTTATGTTATTTTAAGTGATTTCCCTATCCACATTTGTTTGCAGGGCACTTGTCCTACTCTTACCCCCATTTTACTTCCTTTTGCATCTCTATAGCCCTTTCCAGGACTTTTTTTAGAGGCATTTTTGTGCCCAAAAGTTTGGATCCTCATTGACTTCAATGGGGTTCGGGTTTGGGGTCAAATTCAGGGTCAAGTTCGATCCCGAACCCAGACTTTTTTCAAAGTTCAGCCGAACCCGCCGGACCGAACATCCAGGTGTCCTCTCAACTCTAGTTAAAATATCTAAAAAATATTAAAAAGTTTTGAAAAATATACATGTATGTTATTGTATAAATTATTATTTATATTATTTAAATTATTATATAAAAACTCTATAAAAATTATGTAGTACAAATATGTTTAAAAAACCCCCCACAAATTATAAAAATATTAAAAATGTAATATGTAAACTTCACTCCCTACAAAATAATCATAAAAATGTTTCATTTCAAACGCCGGATTTACTCCTTCACATTTAAAGAGTCCATCGACTTTTCAACTTTCTTACTTACATGAAGTTGTCTTCTTTTCTCCAATCTTTTATCCTTACTTAAATGACTAAAAAAGATAGGCAAGAGAGATCTCCTTTATGTTATAATTGAAAATGCGAAGAGCCACTATAATTCATATTCACCCTCTGGATGTTGATCACGTGTTCTGTCAAATGTATACTTTTAAACTCCTTATGATCATACTTATGCCTTAAAGTCCACACAAGATCAAAGGATGTTTAGGATATTTTTAGTATTATAACTCATGGCTGCATCACTTTTATATACACATTTAGAAGAAAAAGTTTCAAAAGTGTTTTCTTTATTTAAATAAATATATATTTTTTTATTTTATTTTTTTCAAAATATGACCAGCTTTACTATAATTCTTACTAAACGTTGTTTTCAATTTTTAACTCCCCTATTAATAATATCAAATAATATTAACATTAGGAATATGTTTAATTCCTTTCCATTATGTGTTTTGTTTATTCCTTTTTTATACTTTTAAGAAAACATCCCTAATATGACTACATACATCTCAGCCTTTTAATTAGGCTCATTGTGCAAAACTAACAATGATTTTAAAATAGATGCTTGCATCCAAATATTTATGGTTATTATTATTATATAATAGTCCAATAAGTTGTATTTTTGGAATATTCTGTAACCAAGGACTAAAATGTTAGCTAGTTGTTTTAATGTAGTTATTTAAGTCTACTTCCTAAAAATATATTTTAGTTTTGATTTGTTAATTTTCTACATATTTTGTTAAATAAGGTGTTTTTTAAATAGCAAAAGTTTATATAATATCAATATATTGGGATAAGCTGCTTAAAAGTGATCCCACCCAAGATACTAGTCTGCAGAGGACCAGGAGACTGGACCGTTTTGGACCTTAACCCCTTCCTGACCGCGGACGTTCCAGGCACGTCCATTAAAAAACAGTCGTTAACAACCCTGGTACGTCCGCGACAAAAATTACCCCTATACTCACCTGGACCGGCAATCTGCGGCGATCCCGGACAGGGGGGACTGCCCGAGACCCCCAGCACCATGATCACATGGCTGCAAAAGGAGTCTATGGAGCTTCCAGCTGAGGGACTGCCTGTGCTGTCAGTCCCCCAGACAGCTAAAATGTGTAAAAATAAAATAAATATATTATACATATATTATATATGTATACTATATTATAAAATAATGAAAGCATTTTATAATATATTATACATATAGCTTTAATTATTTTATAATATATTATACATATATAGGAAATAAGTGTGTGTGTGTGTGTGTGTGTGTATAATATATATATACATATTTATATATATATATATAATAATCCTAATGAAAGTCCTCAAGTAGGACTGAAACGTTGATTTTTTTATTTTTTTTTTGCAAGACTGATTAAAAGTTATATTTTATGGAATTCTATTACATATATATATATATATATATATATATATATATATATATATATATATATATATATATATTTTATTGACCCTTTAACTTTGAAAACCACCATAAAACCTGTACTTGAGGTGTACTGTTATACTCGTGAGACATTACTCTACATAAATATGAGTGTTTTAGAGAAGTAAAATGTATTATACTGATAACATCATCTGTGAAAAGTAACACAAAAAAATGACTACCGAAACGTTTGATAAAGACTGGTGGTAGAATTAGTGCATGGAAAATGTTAAAATACCACCATTTGAAATACCCTAGTGTGTCTACTTTTCATAAATATATGGTTTGATGGGGGTAGATTACATTGGCCGGCTTAAAAAAAAGTCCCAAATAGGACATGGGTGCATGATGACCAGCTGTGAAAATTCCACATTGGAAAACTGGAATGCAAACCCTCCACATCTTTTAGCCCCAGAGACCCCGACACACCTATACATGGGTGGTATCACTGTACTCAGGAGATGTTGCTGAACACACATTGGGGTGGCAGCAACCCTTAAATTTCTCAGTACATGTATTCTTAAATTTCTATGTGTGTCAAAATAATCACCAATTATTATATATTTTTTTTTAATTTGGCATAGATTGGTGGTAAAATGGTTGCATGAAAAGAGTCAAAATGCTCCAAGTTTAATACCTTAGGTTGTCTTCTTTTGAAAAATATATACATGTTAAGGGTTATTCCGGGATTCCTGACAGATATAAAAAAAAATGGTTTGGAATTAGCAAAGTGCTACTTTTACTTATTGCCCTATAACTTGCAAAAAAAAGCTAAGAACATGTTAACATTGGGTATTTCTAAACTCAGGACAAAAT